ACCTATTTATTTATTGAGAAAGGATTTTTACCTAACTCTTCATTGAATTACCGCTTTTAAATGATTTTACTGCCTCCTTATAGAATGCTTTGTGCCTTACGTGTTTTCTTACTTTCAGTCGTTATTTACCTTTGTTACTCGCTCAGTTGGAGTGCTCACTTTACTCCCTGCACCCTGTGTGTAGATTCAGGCGTAGCTGGTTCTCCTCTCGAGTGCTGATTCATTCCAGCTTCAAGCGGATCTTCGAGGAGTCTTTGGGTAGCTATTGGCGTTCGCAGCCTGGAGCTCCTCTCTATCTATTTCTTTTACGACCTTAGTTCAGTATTTTAAACTCTGTAGTTACATTTGAGGATTTGGTATTATTAGATGCTTGTGACTTGTGACACCCCGGTTAAGGCTGTGTCGGGTTGTATTTCCACTACTCATTATCATTAAGCCATGTTTTAGACTACCTTTATGTTGTTTAACTGCTTTAACAAGTGAATTGGGTTTAGTTGGCTGGCCTTGTCTTCACGAGAGGCGCCATTACGACCGGGTTCGGGGTTAGGGTCGTGACAATTATAATAACATACAACTTAAATACAAATTTTGTACAATATATCTTTTGTATATTTTGTATCTGATTTATACATAGTAAAAACAAATTTCATACAACTAATTATATATTATACTACTTATCTACAATATTCATACATTATTTCCACTCAGTTATATACAACTACAATATCATGCAACTTAAATATAATTTTTGTACAATATTTTTCAACTTTCATACAGTAGTTAGATAAATAAAAGAAAAATATATAAACAACAGAATACAAGTTTTTCTACAATTTTACTATAATTTCTGCAGTATAATGTATGTCATGTCTTCTTCTTCTTCTTCTTCGAGTTTCAATCAGAAATTCAGCCAAAACCAAGTCTAATCTTCACCAAAACCCCTCAAAATTGAGATATAAACTCCAAACCATATTCCCAATTATTTGCAACAACACCCAATCCAAACAAATAATGATTTTTGAAAACCCAAATTCGAATTCAAAGCTTCAAAGCTTTTTAATGGCTGTCAATGATGGAAATTGCTGTTCTCTTTTCCTTTGCTTTACATTATTGAAATTTGGGATTGAGAGATAGAGAGAGACGTAGAGAGAATTCTCAATTCTTTGCAACAACATCCAATCCAAACAAACAATGTTTTTTGAAAACCCAAATTCGAATTCAAAGCTTCAAAGTTTTTTAATAGTTGTCAATGGTGAAATTGCTGCTCTCTTGTGCAAGATATGTGGGGAGGGGGGTGGGATGTGGAGAGAGAAACGTGGGGGAGTGGAAGATATGTTAGAGTAATTTTAGAACACTAATTATTATCATTAATTCCCTTAAAATATATTGGGTATATAAAATATAATTATAGTAAAACTTGAGTAGGGAGGGTAATATAGTTTCATATAGTGTATAGAAATGTAAAAATTCCTTAGTAAAATAGTTGTTGAAAAGTTTTCAAGATTGATGTATTTACATTTGCATTCGTCTTTGTATTATTTATTTTCCGTCATACACCAAATATTACAAGAACTTCATTGTTGTAGTCAGTGTTTTAAAAGGCTTTTTCGGGGCTCGCCCTGAGACTCACGTATGGGGCTTAGGTCTGTGAGGCTTACATCTCAAGCGTCCGACTGTGCGCTTTAAACACGCTAACGCCCAACACTCGAGGCTCGCCCAACAATTAATATTCAAATCATGGATCAAATATCCTAATTAGCACTATTGACCCTCAAAACTCTTTAATAAAATAAATGATTAAAGTTTTATTCATCTATAGGAATATGAAGATTGAGAGTAACTTAAATAACGAGTCATAATATTGCAGATTTTCTAATTGAGAACAACGTGAGGGTGAATATCTAAAATAGATAGCCAAAATTTATATCTTCACTTGCTATTAGAGGAAATGAGCCTTCATGGCCATTTACAATATTGAAATTAAGAAAGTGTCCTTTTTAGATCTCTTATGTGTAAAAGATAGATCGATCTTATGTGTAAAAGTTTGATAATAGCAAAAAGAGTAATATTCTAAATTACAACATTGGTGAAGTTTATTAATTATTTACTTTTAGGAAGGTAAAATATTTTGTTTAATAATATTTATTAAGAAATTTCGATTTTTTTATATTTGAAAGTTAAGACGTTATAATTAATTGTACTTTGTAGTAACATTATTATTATTGATTGTTTATGCCGATATAAACATTGTAGAAATCTTATTTTTTATGAGCTGTTTTAGTTATTTAAATTTTTTTAAAACTTGTAATGTACTTCCTAGTTCCTATATTTTTATCTTATTATGCTATTTTTATTTGGTAATTAAATTTCTTTATTTACCAAGTAAATATATATATACAAGCAGATCAAAATAAAACTATAGCAGTTTGGACAGATGGCCCCAAACCTGCATCTTCATCTCATTCTAATACTTCTATCCCTATCACTTTGCTATGTTATATACAAATTTAAGGGTAAAAGTTCAACTCAGTCATCTTTTGCCGTAATCTAACACATGAGGTACTACGACAATACACCTCCTGGATAATGTGCCTAACTATACTCATCGCTGCTTTGCTCTTTCCTTGGAATATTCTCATATTCCTCTCTATCCATATAGCATAGACAGTTGCTGCGAGTGTCATCCTGTAAATTTGTGCTTCAGCAGTTTTCCTTTTCCCCTATTTCTTTGCCCATTCCTTCTCTATTTGCCATGCTATAGGCTGCCTAACCAAACCTTGCCACTGCAGAATCTTCTTCCATATAACAGCTGAGACTGTGCATTCAAAAAATAGATGTTCAATGTTCTCCGCATTGCTTTATAGAGTATACACCTTAAATCCCCAATCTACTTCCATTGTGCTAATCTGTCTCGCGTGAGTAGTCTGTTGTTCAGATCCAGGTACAGTATAAAATCCATCTAGGTGATCCTTGGTTATTGCATATGAGTCGTCTCCATTCCACCTTTTGAATCTCCCCTCTCAATTTGTTATAAATAACCTTCGTAGAGAACTGTTGTATACATTTGACATCATCTTCCATATAGTCTGCATCAATATAAGTTTCCTTAGCCTTCAATATTTTCCTCACCACCCATGAAGCTTGTGTTGCTCGTGCATTCCAAACAGCTCCATCTTTTATATAGTAGATGTGTATCCACTGGACCCATAACTTGTCTTTCTTTTGACAAAGATTCCATAACATTTTACAGATGGCAGCCTTGTTCCAAGTTCTCACATCCAAGAAGTTGAGCCCTCCTGCTGTCTTGGGATGATAGAGTTTGTCCCATGCTATTAACGCTTTCTTTGTCATGTCTACACTCCCTGTCCAAAGAAACTTCTTACATATTGATTCAATTGCCTTCACCATTTTTTGTGGAAAAATGAATACCTGAGACCAGAACACCTGTACCGAAAATAGGACAGATTTGATTAACTGAACTCTACCAGCATAGCTTAGTAGTTTCGAAGTCCATGAGGTGACTCTGCCCATAATCTTATCAAGAAGTGGCTTGTATTGTAAAACTGTTGTCCTTTTAGTACTCAGGGGGACCCCTAGGTACCTAAAAGGCATTTCTCCTTTTTCAAATCACAACACTTGTATTATATTGTTCTGCTCCTCTTCATGCACTCCTCCAAAATAAATGGAGCTTTTTTCTATGTTTTCCTAGACCAGATGCTTTGGAAAACTTTTGAAAATAGTTAAACACCATCTTTATAGACACTATATCCCCTCTGAATAATAATAATAGGTCATCTGCAAAGCTCAACTGTACAATGTTCAGTCTTTCACACTTAGGATGATAATTGAAATCAGGTTGCCTCTTTAGTGTCTTCAAGATTCTAGTGAGGTACTCCATTGCTAACACAAATAGGAAGGGCGACATTAGGTCCCCTTGCCTCAACCATTTTTTTGCAGGGAAAGGGGCAGTAGGGTACCCATTTATGATGACTGGGTATGAGACTGACCTTATACATGCCATCACCCATTGTACAAATTGAACAGGAAAGTGAAGATAAGTGAGGATCTGTTCTATAAACACCACTCAACTGAGTCGTAAGCCTTTCTCATATCTATCTTCAACATGCACCTCGGTAATACCCCTTTCCTTCTATATCCCTTTACCAATTCATGACTCATTATAATATTGTCAATGATCACTCTCCCTAGTACAAAAGTTGACTGACCCGGATCAACAACATCATTCATTACCTCTTGCATTCTATGTATCAATATTTTTGAGATTATCTTGTACAATACCGTACAGCAAGATATGGGCCTAAACTCAGAGATTCTCGCTGGATTTTGTACCTTTGGGACCAGTGTTATAGTAGTGCAGTTGATGGTTCTGCACATGACCTTGTGTCAAAGAATTCCAACACTGCTTTAGTAACCTCTTCTCCTACGACCGGCCAGGCTTTTTTAAAGAAACAGGCATTGAAGCCATCACACCTAGGTGCTTTAAGGTCATCTATGTCTTTGAGAGCTTGGAAAACTTCATCTGAAGTTACAGGTGCAATGAGGCCTAATTGCTGTTCTCTATTCAGTGTTCTTCCTTCCTGCATAATCATGGAATTTACAGCTGGTAATTGGCTAGCAGCAGACCCCAGTAACTTGCCATAAAAACCCAGAATTTCCCTTTTTATGCCTGCTTGATCCTGCACCATGTTCCCCTCGACATTTTTGATCTTGTTTTGTGCCATTCTATTCTTCATGTTAGCAAAGAAAAAAGCATTATTTGAGTCACCTAGCTTTAACCACTGTATTCGAGCTTTCTGACGAAAAATACTTTCCTCAATGTTGCTCCATTTCTATAGCTCTGCTTTAATTGCTTCTTCCTAATCAAACAATGTATGCCCAGGTCCCCTCATTTGAGTTTGTAGGTCTGCCAATTGTTGTCTTAGCCGACTCACTTTCTCACTTACCCCATTAAAACCTCGATTCAATTTCTTCATCTCCTGTTATGATTTCAGCTTCTGCCAGATTTTATTCATACCAGTTCCATTAGTCCTTTGGTTCCAAGCTGCTGCCACTGCCTGAATGAAATTCTCATGGTCAGCTAGACAGTTAAGGAATCGAAAGGGCCTGGGTCCTCCTTGTAGCTCTTCTTTTAACTTGAAACATAAGGGAGAGTGGTCTGAGAAATGTGGATCCATGATGTTGGCCTCCAAGTAATGATATTTGATACACCATTCTGAGTTTACCAGTGCTCTATCAATCTTACTATAGATACGTGTATTTGTCCAAGTATACTCTCTCCCTACTGATTTCATTTCAGTCACTCCAGTATCAAAGAGAAAGTCACTAAAGTCCTTAGTTTCTATCTCACTGACAGGATTACCATACTTCCTATCTTCAGCCTGTAAAACTGCATTGTAATCACCCATGGCAAGCAAAGGGTCCTGCTGTGACCTCTGTATATTCCTTAAGCCATCCCACAACCCTCTCCTGTCTTCTATTGTGTGCAAACCATATATAGCTGTAACGGGAACTCCATGCCCAAGTTACAAACTTTAACTTTACCATGAATAAACTGTTCTGCAGTCTGCTCGACATCAAAATTAACAACATTTTGATCCCACACTATCCAAATTCTACCTCTCCGATTGTGGTTGTAGTTGTGACACCAGCTCCACCCATTTACTATCTTCTTTAGAATTGTTGCAACATTACTTTCTTTGACTCTATGTTCTATTATTGCTAGTATTACTATATTATTATTCTTTATTAACATCTTCATCTCCTTTTGCTTGTAGGTCTTATTAAGACCTCTAACATTCCATGTAGCTAGTTTCATGCGGGAATAAATAGGTGCATATCACTTTCATCCCCCCATTGTCTTCCTCCCCTCATTCTTGTGTTGCTTATCATCCCTTCTCCTTCTAGCAGTGTATTATGTCTGCTTAGAGGATCAAAGCCATTTATCACTTCCACAGGTTTCTCTCACTCCGCAAGTACAGTAAGAGTTGTTGTTCCTTCACCAGAGTTGCTCCGCTGCCCTTTGTTATAGCTCCCCTTTGTAGCTGATTTGTTTCGAACTATTTGCCATTGGCCTCCTTGTGATTGATCATCTTCAAGATTAGTTTCTTTGCTTGTTCCTTCTATCTCATTTTGCTTTTCTTCAATCTGTTTCCCTTTTCTCTTTTCCCCTTGAGCTTCTGATGCATTCTGCCCCTCATTCCCTTGACTGTTTCCTGTGCGTCTTACCTATTGTTGTTTTGGTTTTGTAGCTCCATCTCTTTGCTTTCCTACAGGTGCCTTCTTGTTCTGTGACAGATTGCATAAATGCCCAGCCTGTAAGCAAGTATGACAGTATTCCGGTACCCAGTCGTATACTATCTCTTGGTCATAAACATCTCCCGTCGGATCTTTGACCTTTATAGTCTTTGGTAAGGGCCTAGTAACATTCATTTCCACTAGTAATCGGGCATATGAGATTCTTTCCACTTTTGTTGTGCATTCATCTGCATAAACAGGTACTCCAAGTCCACTTCCAATTCTGCTTAGTGTCTCCCCTTCCCAGCAACTCAGAGGCAAATTTGGCAGTTTCACCCATAGAGGGATCGTTTGCAGAACTTTACTATGAAAATTGAACGTAGGTGCCCAGGATTTGATAATAATTGGCTTGCTATTTATCGTATATGGCGCAGAACATAGGACAACATCCTTGTCTTCTATACTATTGAATCGAACAACAAAGTAACCATCGTTATGGTAGAATACCTTTGGCTTTGATGCAAAGTTCCATGTTGCAGCAATAAATCTTTCTAGGACCCCAATAGTCGGATCCTCTCCCACAACGTATAGAATTAGGGATTGTCTCCATTTTGCACTGCCTTTCTCAATTTTCTCTTTATTAAGCTCAACAATCTTCACTCCATCTTGTATAATTAGAGCAATATATGAGAGATTCATCCCCCTTGCTGCCATTTTGTTTCTATTAAAGAGCATTTCCCACTCCCTCTGCTCCCCTGTCTGCATATTAGGAAGCTGATTTTGTGCTTTCCTCGCATCGCTTTGTGCTCCACAGGGTCAATTCACGGACCAATTGCTCCTCCTTCAATTGATAATCTCCTTTTGCTCGAACCCTCCCTCCTGGTATCGCAATTTGGATTTCTCCTCCTTTAGATCCTGTTATCGGCTGAGTGCTTAGGATTTTTCCTTGGATTACCACCTCTGCACTTGCAGGTGGTGTGTGCATTGGCGTAATTCGTTGCTGCTCCGACACCGGCGCTGCACCTCGAATACCCACAATTGGCGTACCACTTGGTGTATTCAGTCCATTGCTACTTTTTCCAGTTTCTCTACGCTACGCACTCCCAGAGCTTCTTTAATTACCTCTGTTGCATGTCTAGCAGCAACTTTGGTAGCTTTTGGCCGCCCTCTAGGCATCTCCGACCACTGCGCACGTTAGCTCACCTATCGTACGCCGAGAGAGAATTTTCTAGAGAGAGAATTTTTTTATGCTATTTTATTAATTTATAAATTAATAAATATAAAGATTCATGGGGCTTACGCCTCATGCCTCGGGGCTTGTGCTCTCCTCATAGTAGGTAAAATGTCCCACCTCACGCCCCCCCTCTAAAACACTGGTTGTACTTTGTCAAATATTTTCTAAATTAACATTATGAGATAGAGTAATGAAGTGTTTTCCCTTGTCACGACATAATTCAGAATTGAAAAGTGGCACATAATCGTCGTTCTAGCTAATGGCGCCGTTTTTTGACTCCAAATATGTTAAAGGCAATAAAAAAGTCTCTCTTCTTATCTAGTTTCATAGTTTTCTCATTTTTATAGGCACCACTGTAAAGAAATGGGAAAGTATAAATTGGATTTAGTTGTCAAAAGCTTCACCTCGATAAACCTTTGGAATAAAGATCGTCGAGCCGCCGACAACTCCCGGGGTTCAATAAAACAAAGAATACTCCGCGAAAAACTATTGAGTGACCTGTCGAGCTGATCCGACACCAAGTGGACCGCACCTCTGAGGACTCGATATGAAACAGAAAGGTGTTCCAAGAGCGTACTGGTTCATCACCGACGGGTGATCTGAAGAGGAATGCATCAAGAAATTGCCGCTATAGGAATTAGATTTGATTGCTTTAATATATTATTCTTGTCTCTCGTTTTTTCCTTTTCAAAATAAGAGGAACAAACAAAAAGAGAAAACTGAAAATAAAAAGTTCAGTGAATTGTTTGAATCTTAGTGCATTTGCAGAACTGGAAGCCGATGATCACAAATTTGACATCCTATTGCGTGTTGAACCAATTTAACGAAGATATTTTTGTAAGGTGTGCTTTGGTTAACAAGTGATCATAATCAAATGGTGAAATTTTTATTTTTTTACAAATAAAATAAGGAGGGATTTTTATAATCTGCTGTCGTGAATCAAACATCTCTTAGTATTTCTTTTGAACTAAGTATGAAAAAATTGGCAGGTACCTCAGTATGATTTTATCTTTTTTTCTTTTCTTATGTTGAGTGATTTTTTGGGACACTGAACTACATGCCATTATTGCCATCAGCTAATTATTCCTATTTATTAGCATAATATCTAATTTATTTTTGGAACCAACACCATATATCTTCCCCGACTCAGATTACCTGGCTATTCCAGCAGCAGCATTTGAACGCGTAATATATGTCTAACTCACACATCACGTGTTGCTTCCTCGACACAAAGCAAATGTCCTCCTGTCATCATCCGGCTGCCAGTTTTCCTCCACAGATCATATGGCTTAAATGAGAACATTTGATAATGGATGCAATGCTTGTAGCAGTGACAATCACTAATCAATGAAACAGATTAAACGTCCTCAATTTTCACACAGCAGTTCGAAAAGCATACATGGCTATTAACCCAGAACAGTTTCTAGGAAATGCAACTGAAGAATTTAACGAAAGTAAACATTAAGCTAAAAGCCTATTCCCTTGACATCCAACAAATCTGCATAGTACTACTGAATTTGGCTTCAGTTTGCCCTTTGTTTCTTGGATAGTCTCAGTCGGATATCCCCTGCACATAACCATCCTCATATGAGGAACATGTAAATAGGTCTAATGATGATATTAACACTGAAATCACACCATAACTATTCAAACATACCGATGAACGAGAATAAGATAGGCTCATGCTCCGACTCCTGCTTGAGATCCTTGCATGCTTCCTACGATGTGGCTACAAGACAATAAAGTTTGTGAAAGCATAACTTAGATACGCGATTTAATAAAGCATACTTGAACTGCATTATTCATAACGAGATATAACGCTAGTTCTACTTACAGGTGACAGTGGAGATCTGGATCGTGATTGAGATCTGCAAAAATCCAGAAACAATTCTAGTTAATATCAGTAGAATTCTGTAGCCAAAAGGTTCCAGAACGACCTTTGATCCAAATGAATCCATGCTACTTCCACGTCCACAATCAAAGTAGTTAGCAACAGCTGCCAGCAATCTATAATATCAATCAACCAACATGATCAAATTGAAACAAAAACCAATCGCAACGCACTTCCTGGAGATTGTCCGTCCAAGTTATGAGGTCATACCATACAAATGCATGCACCGCCCCGCACGCTCTAAAAAACAAATTAAATTTTTATTTGACTATTCAATAGTGCTCCCACGTTCAGAGCCCTCGGGATTAGCCCAAAAACAATTTGATATATTGCTTTGAGTAAGATCCACCTTAATAACATATTAAAATACAGTTTACCATCCTGAGTTTACCAGAGGTGCTCATCCACTAAAACAGATTACTGCCACATCCAAGCGAGTTGCCTGAATTTGAGCACCATTGGACATCACCTGCCTAAAAAGCAATCCCCAGATCGCCACGAAATGCAAGATCTAGAAAACAAAAAAAAGGCAATCTTCGTAATCATCTTACTAACCATAAAGCTGGTAATTCGTTCTGAAGAAAAACCGAATCAAAAAGATTGGGGAGAGGAAGAAGAGAACAATGGAAAGAGGAAATTGCATCTCAACTATTCCTGGAATTTTAGAAAACTAGACAAGAAAATTTAGAGTCGTCCCACCAATAATGCTTCAGAGTTCTTTCGGGAAGTCATTCTCCAATGGTTTTGGAAATCAATTTTCAAGTTTGAAAATCAAATCGTCTTAACCACAGTAAGTATATCAAATCATTCAACTAGAAGTGCCTAACTTACAAAGTCCATCCTCAAAACTCAATGACAACCAGAAGATAATTCAATGAGAAACCACGAGAAGTCCCCAACAGGCAGGCTCTCAACTCCAACCCAACCCCTCCCCACCCAAAAAAGAAATGACCCATAAAATTCTCCTGCTGGTCTGCTCTTTAACCATTCCTCCCATACACCCCCAAACAAGATGAAATTTTCAATCACTACAACCCTAGATTGGGGGGAGAACAGTGTTGTCACTCTACGAGAAGCGTAAAAAGCTGGCAATTTTTACTTACAAAAAGAATGTATAACAGAAGTATTGTACAGAAACTTCAAAATACATGCTTCCTGGACATACAACACAAGATATAATAATTATAAAATACAAATATTTACATAGATAAAAGAATTAAGAAACTGCAATTGATTGAATTAATGAAGTAAAACCACGAAATCAAGTTCAAAGTTCAAACCCATTTTAAAGAATTTCTTATTTAGATGCAAATATGCAGTTTTTGACATCCAATTCAGCTCGATTCACTAGCTTTCTTATACCAAGTTTTAATTTCTTATTCCCAGTACCTCTTAAATTCTTTAATGACGCTTCCTTAATATCACTTTAAGGGCTATATTTTTTTTAGTGACATCATCTTGAAAGAGCCTCATGAATGAGCTTAATATTTTATAACAAAGCATTTAGTTGGCTGGTTTTGGTTAAGACGCACAATGTAGCGACTTGTGGAAATACACCACCTGCATTGCACCTAGCTTCAAACCTTAAGTGCCTCTAAATACATTGAACGAGAAAAGAAAAATACGCACTGAAAGATCGGAAAAGACAGATAGACGTACTTGGTAACTGTACAGCTAAGGTTTCACATGCTTCCACTACTTAAAATTTAGCATCTTCTAGATTAATAAAAGCGGATAGACATATCCTACAGAATAGAAGGTACAAATCCATCCATCTTTGGCAATAAAGAGGTAGATCATCTCACTCTCATTCTTACAAAAGGGTTATCTCTTCATTCCATGTCACTTTTTACTTGAAATATGCAAGCTAGAAATAACTTCTCGTCGAATAAGGACTCAGTTTCTCTGATTCCTTGCTGCTTCAAAACTACCAACATACCAGACCAATCTAAAACTTATATTCTTCTCTCCTTAGTAATTCTAGTAGCACCAAACTGTCAATTCCTCATCTATCTATTCCACGAAGCATCCAATTCATATCCCTCCCCAATTTTATATGATTAAATGGTCACTGCTATTCCTACTAATTTCCAGTACTAATGTTATCTTTCTGTAGCTCTCGAAAGATAAAGAGAGATATTTTAGATGTCTAATTCTATACATTATGGTGAATGGTGATACTACACAGTGAGTCTTTTTGACTCTACATATCTCCAGAAAATGAAACTTCAAACAATGATAAGTGCTTGATCATCTAACCAGACAGAGCCACCGAAACATAACAAAACAAAACTGTGGTCTAAAGCCTTGCATGGGGCAGAAAGAAGAAAAAGCAAACAAAAGCTCCAAGAAACTTTGATGTTATTCTCCAGATAAGTATAAAAAACACGCAACTGCACAGAAAATTGTATCCTTTCTCTAACAATGGTGTCATTACCTTAACCAATCAAAACCACGAAGATAACAGGAGCTGAACATCTAAACAACAAAGAGACTCCCAAATCAACATAAGTATTCCACTGTATAGTCATACTGCTGATTCCTCATATAGAATTTCCATTAAATAAAGCACAAAAACACCACTAAAAAGGGATACTGCTCAAACGAATGTAAAGGAGGATCCTAAGAAGAACATTACTAAGCACACAGCACCTAGCAATTAAGGTAGACTACATGTAACGGACTTACAAAAGAATTCAAATAAGACACGCTTATATGCTACAAAGCATGAATTAGGACTATGAAAACTATTTTTTAACTATACTTAAAACGAGATTAATTTAGCAAAGCATAAGAGAAATATAAAAACCTTGATGTGAAACAAAGAAAGTACCTAGAAACAGAGCGAGCAGGGGAAAAAGACCTTGAGCGCGAGACAGACGCGGAACGACGAGAGTATTTACCCCTAGGAGACACACTGCCGAATGACTGTTAGTAAACATGCTAAATTTTCTGAAGGTGATGGAAAAGACAGTCAGAAACTAAACCTTCTGCTCTGGCTGCTATAGCTCCGTCGAGGACTCCTGCTTCTTGAGTAACTTCTGCCTCTTGAATAATATGGACTTGGGCTCCTGGAATATCTACGTCTCTTATCATACTCCTCCACCTTAAGAGTAGATAACTGGGTTAAACTAATGCATAAACACAACATTGGATCCAGGATTTCTGCTACTGACAGGGAACAGACCCTAATATACGCTCGAGAGAACTGATTGCGAAAGAGAGAGTCATCAAGTTTCCTTATCTGCAAAAGAAACAAACAAAAAAAGAGATAAATGAGGAGACTGACAAAGGAAAAAGGAATTAATTAAACCATAAAACCTTTATTATTCCAGAGGAGAAGAAGAACCAATGATGTGATATTACAGATTAAAACAAGTCACTTAAAGCTTTTATTAGCCTACCGCATATTTCATATCTTCATAGCTGGTATAGTCCACAATTCCCCTCATACCTGCAAAAATAGCAGTAGCTAACATCAACCGCTTCCATTGCAATGCTTACACACTGACTAGAAAGAATGGAGGACAAAAAGAGTAGGCATACTTTCTTTAATAGTCACGAGCCTTACATGAAAGCGTTGCACGGAGATCTAGTGCAATAAGATAAAATAGACTACACACAAAGTGACCCATTATATATGGTGTCTGATAAGAGAAGTGTTAGCTAACTGATCTTTATAGTGCTTCCTCCCCAACTAAAAACTTTTATTTAAACTGAGCTAAAGAAATTAGAAGCCAGAGAATATCTTCTTAATGCATTTAGATGTTCTTGAGGAGTTTCAATTGGTAAATGCTTTTCTTCACTAAATTTATCTTTGAGCAAAATGAAATATCAGGTTAGACAGCGTACAGGTCTTGTAAGTGATCTTATATGCATGTGATGGCTTTTCCAATCCTTTCGATTCAAGTAATTGGCATTAATGTAGACTTTATTTTGAATTTATCTGACCCTTGCTGTCTTTGGAAGTTTAAGAAAATAAAGGAACTACTGGAACAGTAAACAAGAATATTTTTTATATTTTGTGAAATTAGCTTGACTATATTCTAGAAAAGATTTGAACACTTTAGGGTATTTAATTCTCTTTCCCCTCAGACTACTTTCCAAAAGTTTCCCAATGCGATTGATTGCGGACATCAGTGATATTAAGATGATCATTGAATTTCGATTATGGTATGAGTTTGGATTTCGGAAAACAAATTATGTGTTCGAATTTTTTCTGAAGATCTTATTCTGAAACATAGTTGTGTTAAAAAAATCTTTTACGCCTACCCAGACTAAACATCTTGATTTGCTTCTAAATATTTCTCTATACTGATCAATTGAAAGAAAAAAAGGAAAAAAGGAGCTGTAATGGAAGTGTTGAGATGTGAAGGCCCTTGATTTTTGTTGAAAATCAACCACTATCCTGTTTGGTTTCAAAACTAAACATGTCTGGTTTCAAAGTCAGATAAATAACAAGCATTCATTCAGATTTTAATCTAACACCTGTTTCCCTAAACACTGAATAAGAGAAATCGTTTAATATATTTGTTTAACGATATTTCCAGAAGTATTTGCCCTATCATGGGTGACATTCTACCCAGTACCATGCTATTCGAGTCTTTATTTGTAAGATACAAGCACCGGTTGATCAAGAAGTAACCTGATTGTCTCACGTGTTAATTTGTTATGTTAAATACCTGTTTAGACACCCCCTTCAACAAAAATGTGTAAAATACTAGTATGACTTAAAAACCAATGTACATTTCCCCTCCTGGGAAGGTATGTGCATTAATGAAAATCATTAAGAATTGAACAAATGCAACTATAAAAACTGCCTCAATAACCTAACTAACCGTCACGGTCTCGAAAAACTTGAGAGAAACAGACATCTCCTGCTCGGCGCATGTGATCCTAGCAAGACCAAGTAAAAGAAACCACACTGATCAAAATCTCTCGCAAGTTCCCGAAATCTTTACTGATCATAACAACATAACTGTAACACATGCTAACCTTCAAGTCTTGCCATGAAGCAGAAGATGGTAGTCCAGATATCAGAACTGCAAAGTTCTTATTTTAGCATGAAATAATAACTATATGAAATAGCTTAATGTCGAGGATGCAAGGAATTATGATAACACAACTAAAATCAGGCTAACCGCGATGGTCTGAGCGCCTAGAAACTCCACCACGACTCCCACTACTGTAACTGCTATGGCGATCATATGATGATGATCCTTGCCCACCGTGAGCAAGTTCAACCTACATAAATCATAATAAACAACAACAGTGGTGAGCATAATCTGACTTCCAAAATAGCACTCATCAATCAAAAAGATTGGGAGGGGAGGAGACAACTAACTCGTAATCGATGTCCATCAAAGTCATAGCCATCGCGCCCACGGATGGCATCATCAGCATCACGAGAATCTTCAAACTGGAATGTACAAAAGAATGACAACAATGAGATCTATCAAACATGATGTAGCATGAAGAAACATATGCAGAAAATTGAGCTATCCGCCAATACAATAAGGGAATAACTAACATCTCAATGATTCAATTCCTAACAAAGAACTCACCTCTACAAATGCATAACCAGGTGGTCTAGGAGGAACTTTCAAATCAATTTCCACGATATGCCCATACTGCACGAAATTCATGGAGAAAATTCAAAAGATTAGCAACTTGGCATAGGTAACAAAAAAAGAAGAAGGGAAAATTGACAAAAAAACTGGTTACACCAAAAAGGTTAGCCAACACGTAATAAAAAAACCATAAATTTTAATGATCTTTAGTCAACCATCTTAGAAATGAACCAAAAGGAATTATGTAATTGACAAATATAGCAACAGAAAGAATCTATAATAATAAAGTAAAAATAAGTCATCTTTTCTCAGAAAAAAATTCATGTGTATTGTAAAGCTGCCAGTTGTACCATTAGGTAAAACAACATGATCCCAAAAGTGCCAAATTAGATGACTATCAGGGGCTTTTAGAAAGCTGAAAGAAAAAAAAAGAAAAAAAAATAGAAAACTGAAAGACTAAATGGGTGCTGTGACAGTAATGGGAAACTCAACGGGGAGGTTCAAATCATTGAAGAGCAAGAGATTAAACTAAAAGAAGTAAAAAGCAAGTATTTTCACACACTAACAAACCAAAGAGAGAGACTACTACTTTTTTTAGAACCTGAAGTTAGACTATACACCTCTCATCACTTTAACAGTTTGATATGAAAGGCAAGAGACCTGAGAAGACCAAGAAAGATAGACAATGCACAAGGTCTCCTAATCTACTTAGGCACAACTTACACATATGCCACCAGATATAAAACATATTACAAGAATGAATCCTTGCATTTAACCCCCCAAATTTCCCCCCGTGTTAGACAAATTTATTCCTCTTCCAATCCACCCAAGAGTGCAAGTTCTCATGGAACTCGCTGGCGCCCTTGTAGATGACAAGAAGTAAGCCAACATAAAAGGAGAAACAAATTGAAGGTAAATGTATAACTTAGTTATAACATATCAAATTGCCAAAAATATGTCCTTCCAGAAAACTAGTAACTTATCTTGCTAACCTTGTAAAACAAATCTTCTACTTCTCTCTCACGAATATCACCAGGAAGATTGCCCACATAGATAGTCCGACTTAAACGACCCATTATGCCTGAAACCATTAACCAAAAGAATGCAGCTTGTTCAAACATTGGAAGTGGTTATAAGTGAACCATTGGAATGTAACAAAGAATTTTTGTTAATTCTTTAGGTGGTGGGGAAGGGGGTGGAATTAATCAGAGTTGACTGAAGCTCATTAGTAAAAGGCCATAATGAATGGCCAACTAAAGAAGGGAAAAACAAAGTAAAGTAACATTATACGCAAGACGATATGGAACTATTACAGTATCTTTTCCTTCAATGAAGAGCTTCTACATAAAGAATAATGTTACAACTACCAAAATCACACAATGCTCTTCAAAGCATCTTAAAATTACAGAAACGAAGTTATACGACAAGCATCAGAGTAGCAAATATCATAAATGATCAATCTAAAACTAATCTAAAAGATTATGCTTGTCAGCAATAGTAATCACAGCAAACACCAGATATATGAAGAGAAAATATCAAAAGGATCTTTTTCTTTTCACTGTGTTTAGAATGACGAAAGTCATTTCTGGTGTTATCGTGTCATACGGAGAGTCATTTCTGGGGTTAGGTTATCTATTCTATCAAAAAGGCAGAAAATAACTTCTGGACATCATTTTCTGAAAATTATCCTAGCTTTTAATTCATATCACTTGCTCCAATTAACACTTACACATTATTATCAATATGTAATGCTCATTATTTCATCAAAACAATTCCCGGTTTGTTAATATTATTACTTATCTTTATCTGATCAAAAAAATATTATTACAGATCTCTAATATATTTTTCCATAAAATATTCACGGATCAATTATCAAGAAAGAATTTTTTTTGGAAAATATTTTCCACAAAAAATGACTTTTGTCCTGCCAGCTACTCATCATGTTCCTTTTTTCTCAAGTCTATGCATGTAAAAGTAAAGCAAATAACGTCGGTTAAAAGGGTCGAGAGAACAATCAAGAACTTCAAACAATTTCGCTACTGATACAAATTTTGTTAATAAGTATTTTTAACGGATTCTATAAATACATGGATATTATCGCAAATGTAAAAAAAAAATTAACAGAACAACAGCAGAAAACCAAGAAAAATCCTAAAGTCTCTTCAAGAACTACCAAATCCAAAATTCTTTTTAGAAGAAAAAACAGTCGTTGCTATAAAACCTAAATAGAGAACCGGTGAAATTTTATATGGATTTAATTTTCTAATAAGTTGGATTGGGGAGAAAGGAAGAAACAGCTTACCTGTAGGATCCAACACTAGAGATTGCGGAGAAAGAAAAAATTGCAGCAGACGAAAAACAAGTGGCATTAATACATGAACTGAACTTATTATATATGCAAGGGAGAAGGAAACAAGCTTCGGTATCATACGCTACTTCTAAAAACTCGACACAAATCTAAGGACGTCATGTCATCACATGACATCTGTCCTTCCTAGGACACTTTCTTTAAAGTTCAGGAGAAAGAAACAGATAGGAAAATTAATTATAATCCATAAAAAAGGGGAAAAGAAAAGAAAATAGGTATATCCCACTTGGTCTAGATGTCACTTGGGGATTGGTGACTCCCATAAGTTTTTTATCTTATCTTTATTACTATATAAAATAGGAGAAGCAAAACCGATACTGTAAGCACGTGATTTTTGCCCTATATGAATTACTCCCACAGTTGCAAAACAAAATAATTTCTTCTCATTATTTGCAACTTTATGAATTTTCGGGGCATTTTCTGTTAATTGTTTGCATTTGTCTGTGCACTTTTATTTTTGTTTAATTAATAAAAAATACAAAAAAAAAGGTGTTGCATGTGCATTTAGGAGTTAATTTTGCATGTTTATAATTGTTTTTAATTAAGTTGTTTTAAATAAAAGAAAATCACCAAAAAATAGGTTAATTTGCATTTTTCATTCTAAATTTCAATTTGGAGTAATTTTCATTTTAATTGTTTGGTTAATTAATTTTGATAATTATCATTTAGGCTTAATTAGTGTATTTAGATCAATTAGGTTCTAGGAATTAATTCAGATTTTTATTATTATTTTGAAAAAAAGAAAGAAAAAAAAACAACAAAAAGAATTAATTTTGGGAAAAGGAAAAGATTTTGAAAAGAAAGAGAGATCAGATTTTATATTTGGGCCAAAGTTAATTAAAATTGTCATGCCCAAATCAAACCCCAGCCCAACCCACTTCTTATCATTAACCCGCCCAGACCCACGCCCCAACCCGTTTGGCTAACCCGACCCACTCCATAAATACACACACAAATACAATCTCAGAGAGCCAACACGCAAAATCCCTAAATCAGACGCGCTGTTCATCTTCTTCTTCATCTCAGCCGCGTTCAACTCGCCAAATCTCAAGCGAGTGAGCTCAAATTCACCCCCACGCTTTCTCCCTCTCTCCTGGTCACCAAATTTGTAACGGTTTCTGACAGATTCCCTCTCCCTCACATGCTCTCTTCAATTTTTATTTCGGATTTTTCACCTTTTGGATGATCTACAGAAAAATGGGGGGCGTTAGATTGGATTCACGTTAATCTAAGCCTTCCATTTGTCCCTCTCTCATCAGAAACGGGAGAAAAATTCGTTTTGGGGGAGAATTTTTCGATGTGTGGGAATTTCGTGGTGAGGAAGGCAGAAATTTCGAGAATTGGGGAAGTCTATATAATGTGAGTTTCTTTTCTTGTAGAGGGGATTTTTCTGATTTTTGGGAGGGGGATTTTTAGGGAATTTAGGAGAAATTCAGATGAGGGTTCTAAAGACACTTCCTGTTTTTCCGAAATTTTCTTTTTGATTCTCATTTTCTGCGCCTAGTTCTGTTTTCCTTTGTTAGAATCAGAGAACAAAAATACAAAAAAAAAAAGATCGATTTCTTTATATCTCATCTCTGGTACAATTTTGCTGGTGATGGAGTTTGTCTGAAATTGTTTGATGTTCTGTGGGTCGTTTGGTGCTGTTCGAGTGCTGTTCTATGTTTCCATATAATCTGGGTGTTTGCGATTTCTTATCGTTCAGTTTTGTTCGATTTGTTTGACCGCTTCCATGTAATCTGTGTTTAATCTATGTTTCATTGTTTGACACTCCACGAAAATGAGGTAGTGTTCTGCCCATATTGCCTCATCTAGTTTCAGCAGGAAATGTGGTTCGAATTTGTTTCATTAGTTCTATCAAGTGTTTTCAAGTGAAATGAGCTCGTGGTGTTTGCAGCGAGCTAATTATCATGATTTGGTTTCTGTGGTTTATTAAGATTCATGTGAAGATAGTCCAATTTGTCTGTCCATCTTGCCCTAACTGTTGATCTGTAAGTGAGCATTGTCGTGGTTGTTTGTGTGGTAGCAGTAATTGCTAAAGGATAAAACATCAGATTTAAGCTAAGAAAAGGGACTGTTTTCTGTTTTTTTTTAATAAGGTTGGGTCATCCTTGTCGTGTTTGATTTAGCTTTGCGTTGGTCTAAAGGGGTATTGAAGCTAATTTGTTTCGTTGATTGTATATGCTCATACTTGCTCTATTTTCCTTCTTTTGTCCAAAATCCGTCTGCTTTGTTACTGCTATAATAATTTTGCTCTATCGAGCTGCTAAAGAAGTCAATTTCAGCATGTAAATTGAGCCGATAACGTGCAGTATTTTGGGACATTTGTTTGGACTGTTAGCTTGCTGAAAAACCGGCCCTGTTTTGTTGAATGTTAACGCTACGTTTGTACTACAATGAGCACCAGCAGCAAGCAGTTCAGGTTTGCAGAAATAATATTCGGCTGCAACTATTTTACAGTGACTACTTTAGTGGCTATAACTAAGTGGCTTTTATGCAGCGTTAGGTATCTTCTTAAATGGTTCGACTATTCTTCTTTGCTTCATTAGAAATGGTGTCCAGTTTGTTCCTTAATCAGGAAGTCACATTAGTTGAGAATATGGATTGAACTAATTTGATACACAACATAAAGAGTCACTCGGAAGAGCGTTACTGCATGGTTTGGACGATGTCCTAGTATTTGCCATTCCCTTTGTTCTTGTTAGCTAGTTTAATCGTTTGAATGAGTTTTTTGCTTCCTCTTCTGATTAATGTGATTCCACATGAATGATGCCAAAGAATAAAGTCAAGACCATCTGTTCCATATGGTCATTAGGATCTGCCTATCAGTTTGTGAAACCAAAACAGTAGCTTATTCGAATTAGATGATTCTCTGCTAGCTTCTTGTGTTAAGCCTGAAGCCTTTGCCTTTTCCCATGGTTGGCTTTTATCCTTATTGAATTTTCATATGGCATCAGTTTTTGTGGTAGTTTCCGCATTCATTATCTTAGATCCATGAAAGTTTGAGCGAGTATTAATGTTTCTGGAGTTCATTTGTAAATCTACAATTGTGATTATGTATACGTCCGCGTAACATAATTACGATTCTAAAAACAAAACCGGAGTATGCGTTCGCGCAACTTCGGCCCAAACTGTCTTAATAATAATAAAGCGTTATTAATCGTGGACACATTCGCGTGGCATGATTTTTGACGCGCCAAACAAATGGGTATAAGTACGCGTAACCGTTTCAAGATAATTTTCCCTAATTAAAAACGGTAAGAAGTAAACGCACATAGGTTCTAAAATCAGTAATTAAATAATTGTGTAAGCCAAGTATTATCAAAGCGACCGTGCTAGAACCACGGAACTCGGGAGTGCCTAACACCTTCTCCCGGGTTAACAGAATTCCTTACCCGGATTTCTGGTTCGCAGACTGTGTACAGAGTCAACCTTTTACTCGATTCGGGATTTTAACCGGTGACTTGGGACACCATTAATTATCCCAAGTGGCGACTCTGATTTTTAATTAAATAATCCCGTTTCGATTGTCACTTCAAGTTGGAAATAACTCCCTTATTATATCCCTTTACGGGGGTGTAGTCAAAAAGGAGGTGTGACAGCGACGAGTGTTCGAGTCCTACCTGTAGGACACCTTTAAGCATGTGACTAAGATATAAACATGAATAATTTCTACTGAATTACGAGAATAACATGCGTGAGGAAAACCTGTCCAAAGGGTATATATACATATACGTGCGGAAATATAGTGGGGCGAGCCGGCAAAGCTACTATAGACAACTATATATCCAAAACTGGAAGCCGACAGGGCCACATACTATCCAACTATACATAACTGTCTACAGACCTCCAATAGAAATACAACTGTACAAAGACGGGACTGAGCCACGTCTCTCTCTCTCTCTCTCTCTCTCTCTCTCTATATATATATATATATATATATATATATATATATATATATATATATATATATACAAGCATATCGTACCAAAATCAAAACCAGCTCCGGATCAAGTGGAGCACGCCAACTCTCGCTGATCAAGGGTCCTAAGAAGGGGAACCGTCGACTTGCCTACCTGCACTTGCGGGCATGAAACGCAGGCCCTGAGAAATAAGGCGTCGGTACGAATAATGTACTGAGTATGTAAGGCATGAAAATCAGTACATAAAAGACATAGATGACACATGGAATACAGGAATCCATCTGTAAGTCTGAATAGCTTTGTAAATTCTGAAACATTTATAATGTCATGCGCGTGCATATAAATGTTGTATCATGCATAGGTATAGGTGTACATAATATCATCAAGCCTCTTAGGGCATCCCATCATATCGTCTCGGCCACTGTGGGCAACATCATCAACATATACCAACTGATCAGGTAGTAATGCATATATAACGCCGTAACCATTTCCCATATCACATATACATATATTTATATATATACGCGTATATAACGCCATCTGGTCATGGGTCAGTGTAAATGAATACAATGCATGAAATGCATAAGAAATACGTTAATAAGATTTCCTCGGAATGCCATAAAAATCAATATACCTTTTGGATAAACTTTATCAAATACGTATTTTTCTGAGACCCTTGAACAGATGATAGAAAAATAAGACTTATGGGAGAATAAGAATAAACACATCTCTAACATTTCTACGAATAGAGTAATTTATGGAAGTTGTGCATTTGCTCGTTTCGTTTGTGTCATATAGATCATGCCAAAAAGAAAGAAGGGATGGCCTTAACATACCTGGAGTAGGGAAAAATCCGTATGATATTTTTGGAAAAGATTGCAACGTACTCTTTTAGAACCACAAAATTTTTACGTAGTTAAGCTTCTAATAATTCTCGTTGGATTTGGGTGAAGAAATCTCGCTGCTACTGTTTTGTAACAATTTGAACAAAGTCACCTACTAATCTCTAATGCTACTGTTTTGTAGGAATACTCACGAAATTGGCAAAATCTACTGAAAGATTGAAGAATGAAGTTGAAGATTACCATAAAGGAGTGAAGTATTTGCATGAAAATGGCATTAAAGGAGTTCCAAAGAAATACATCCTCCCTATTTCAGAACGTCCAAATTATTATGCTATAACTGGAAAGCCACAATTAGACTACTGATTGTATATT